ACCACTTCTAAAATAAAGTGCTCTATTACTTCATCCATTATAGGATCAACATTTACTGCTGCCTCATTTTATGTCGCTGTTAAATCCACTACTTCAAAAGTTATGTTATTTGGTGCACCAATATCATGTTGTGCTTGAGTAGTTAATGGATAATTTTTTTTCCTACAATTCAGTGCTGTATTTTTGGAAGGAATTATATGTAGCATCCTTGCCAGAGTGGTCTCCTTTTTCCAAAATCCTAGGAGTTGCATCCTCCAAATCCCTTGATTCCAGAATCAAATTAGGCTCATTTCCTAGAGTGTCTATCATTGCTTTCTTCACATTAGGAGCCTGTTTTGACTTGGTTTGTTGTACCCAAATCCCTTTAGATGGCTAGATCAAATCTAGTTGCTTTGATTGAGGCTGAACTTTCCTTGAATAAGAGGTTTCCTTATGAGATATCCCAGAGATCTGATTTTGCTGAGTTTGCTTCCCCTTATATTTCTCCCCTATTTCCTTTCTTGTAATATTTTCCCCAAGATCTTGATTCTTATCTTGATTTTCATCCGGCATCCAGGACACTTTCCTTTTTCTACACTTTTCTCCGCCATGGCCTAGCTTCTTGCAGCTCTTGCAGAAATTGCTTGCTGCGTTCATTGATTATTCGTTGCCACCTAGCTCCTTTGTCCCCCATATCAATCCAAATTCTGCTTGGGTTGTTAGCTAAGAGGTTGACTTCTACACAAACTCAGGAGAAGGTTGTCTGGTCATACGCCAACACCTGACCTATAGGTTTTACCGGTAACTCCAGGTATGGTTTTTTGAAAAATTTCAGTGGTATGCCAGGAAATGATATCCAAAGAGGAACAATTGAAGGCTCAATTCCTGGTACAAAACTAGAGAACCACTTACAAAAGCTGAAGAGGTAGTCCTCTATTAGTGTAGCATCCTTAAGCCATGTCTTCACGTAATCTTCATGCAATTGAAATCTTAAGAGTATATGCCTCTGATCAATTGACCCAACCTCAAAATCTCCCTTTAAACTCCATTTAGATCGTATTACTTCCTTGATAACTCCTAGTGAGGGTCTGCCATATGCACACTTACCAATCAAAGAGTATTGGAGGGATTGGCAAGACTTCTGGATTTTTTCATTTGCAAAGTAGAACGATGGTTCACCTTCGTAGAACACTATGGGTTTGTCAAATTTTTCCAACTGTGGATCTTTAGAAGGTTCTTGGATTTGGCGCTTGAATAAAGATGCAAATGATCGTTTTATGTTGGTGGATGAATCTGGGGGTTTTGGTGGAATATGAGGTTGTGTTGGTGATGAACTCATAAGGAAGAAAAATCTAGAGATAAGTCCTAGGAGCCTTCTAATTAATATTCAATTCATCAATTTAACACAAAATTAAAATTCAAGTTTCATCCAATTTTAATTCAATTTTATCTAAAAAGCATTTAATTCATTAAATTAACATTCAAATTCAACTTGTTAACATTAAAATAATTAAATTAATGCCAAATTAACATTCAGTTCATCTAATTTTTATTCAAATTTATCCAATCAACACTCAATTAATCAAATTAAAGTCCAAAATTATTTAAGAAATATTCAATTTATCAAATAAACACCATAACAACATGCAATTTCATCCAATTAAAATTTAATTTATCAAATTAACATTCAAATTCATCAAATTAATATTCAATTCATCAAATTAGCACCAAATTAACATTCAATTTTATCTAATTAACATTTATTTTTTTCTAATAAGCATTTGATTCATTAAATTAATATTCAAATTCAACTAGTTACATCCAAAGAATTGTTGAGAAGGCTCACAAATGCTAAGAAGAAAAGGAAACAAAAAGAGGAAGAGCTAGCTGCCTTAACATTGGCATTGCATAATGTTCCGATTAGGAAAGATTCGCCAAGAATCACTAGGTCCAAATCTAAATCCATGATAACGTTAAAAATTCCAAAGCAAAACAATAGATATGGATTCAGGCATTAAGGGAGCTAATTTTTGAGGATTTCATGGAGATCTTTCAGACATTAAGGGCGCTGATTTTTAGGGATTTCCTGGACCTCATTTAGTCAATCTTTACCAGTTTAAAGGAGTATTTTCAAGGATTATTCACAGAATGATCGTGATATACTGCCCACCAAATCTTGCCTTTTTAATGTGTGATCACATGCAAATGATTGCATGTGATTTGTCCAACGTTGGGAAGATTTTATTCAAAGGGATCATCTCTAGCTCAACATGCAGACAACTATTTGTTTGGCTATTGCTAGGAGTCCATTCTGTAAAGAGGCAACAACTATCCCACTGTTCATGTTACTGTTCACCTAGAACTACAGTTGGATTGGTTTCGTGGAATTTGCTTTATTTTCTTCAAAGGTCTCCAATTCAGCTGAAATATACTTTATTTGCTTCAAAGGTCTCCAATTCAACTAGACTGCTTTGATAGTTATAGCTAGCTGAGTTCCTACATCAGTTAGTTAAGAAGGCAGCAAGCTTAGGAAATATTTATTATACTAAGCATGCATATTTTGCTTTCTTTCATTTATTTCATTATTCCATGTAACTAGATTTTATTTGAAATTAATAAAACTCTCTCGTGCCGTTGAGGTTCTAAAAAAAATTTCAATTAACACTAAATTCATTGAATTAACTTTTCAAATAAAAAAAATAAAGATTCAGTTTATCAAATTAACACCAAAGTAACATACAATTTCATCTAATTAATTTTCAATTCATCAATTTAACAACAAACTAGCATATTCAATTCATGTTCAAGTATTGCAATCAGGTTCAATAACAGAGGAAGTTAGAGATGAATTGCGAGAACTTCAAGCTACTAGTCAATTGCTTTTGGAGGCAGAGGAAATTAAATGGAAGAAAAGATCTAAGGAATTGTGGCTGAAGGAGGGAGATCGAAACACAAATTTTTTTCACATATGTGCAAGTCTAAGAAGGCAAAGAAATGAAATCAAAGGTTTACGTGATTTGAATGGAATTTGGTGTACAACTAGAGAACAATTGGAGGAAATTTCTGTGAAATATTTTCAAAATTTGTTTACATCCTCTTCTCCAAACGAGGCAGATTTATATGAAGTATTACAAGTTGTACCCAAAGGATTTCTCAGTCCATGAATCATCCCTCATTCAATCCTTCAGTAGGGAGGAAGTGGAGATAGTTATCAAGCAATTTCATCCTTCTAAAGCTCCTGGTCCAGATGGGATGGGTCCAATCTTTTATCAACAATTTTGGGATGTTATTGACGATCAAGTAACTGAGTTGGTTTTAAACTTTTTAAATCATGATAGCTTCAATCACAAGATCAACTATACTCATATTGTTTTAATCCCTAAGATTGTTAACCTACAGGATATGTCTCAGTTTTGTCCAATCAGTCTGTGCAATATTATTTACAATATAATATCAAGGGTTCTTGCTAATCATTTAAGGCGTCTTCTTCTGAATATTATCTCAGAATTTCAAAGTGCATTTGTGCCTCGAAGGTTGATAACGAACAATTTGTTGGTTGCAATTGAATTGAATCATCATATGAAGAGGAAGAGAGTTGGACGCACTGGTGTTATGTCTTTGAAGTTGGATATGAGCAAAGCTTATGATCGGGTAGAGTGGGGTTTCCTAGAAGCTATTATGCACAGGATGGGTTTTGATGCTAGGTGGATCACATTGATCATGACTTGTGTCTCTACAGTTTCATATTCGGTTATACTTAATGGTGAGCAGCTGGGATTTTTTTATCCACAAAGAGGTCTGCGTCAAGGTGATCCATTATCAACTTATCTTTTCCTGTTATATTATGAAGGTCTTATTGGTTTAGTTCAGAGAGAAGTAGAGTTGGGAGGTATACAGGGTCTGGCAGTTGGTCGCGGTGCTCCAAGTTTTACACATCTTTTATTTGCAGATGATAGTTTATTTTATGCAAGAGCCAACAAATCAAATGCTCAGCGGATTAACAGATGTTTGAAGATTTATGAAAAGGCATCTGGTCAAACAATTAATTTCTCAAAATCAGAGGTGGTGTTCTCAAATAATACTTGTCTAGCTGACAGACTTGCTGTTTTGAATGAATTGCCTTTGAAAGTGGTTGTTAGTTATGAAAAATATTTGGGTCTTCCTTTAATCATTGGCAAGACAAAGAAACAGATGTTTGATGGTATTAAACAAAGGATATGGAATAAAGTTCAGAGATGGCAAGGAAAGTTGCTATCACAGGCCGACAAGAAAGTGTTAATTAAGGCTGTCGCTCAAGCTATACCTACATATGATATGTCTTGTTTTCAGCTTCCATCGGGGTTTTGTTTAGAAATAAATCAATTGATGGTTAGCTTTTGGTGGGGTCATAATACTAAAGTTAAGAAGATTCATTGGTTGTCCTTGCAAAAAATATGTTTACCAAAATCTAGAGGGGGTATGGGTTTTCGGGATGTTGAAGCTTTCAATATGTCCTTATTAGCTAAACAATATTGGAGGCTACTTCAGAATCCTGACTCATTACTTTTTAAAGTTTTGAAAACCAAGTATTTTCCTTCTTTTTCTTTAAGTGAAGGCACCTTGGGGTACAACCCATCTTATTCCTAGCATAGCATACTATCCTCCCAGCGTTTGGGTGACGTTGGTTCAAGATGGAGGGTTGGAAATGGTAGAAGCATCAATGTAAAGCTCGATAGGTGGATTCCTCAACCAAACACTTTCAAAATTATTACTAAACAGCCAAACCTTGTGGATGATATTAAGGTTAATCATTTTATTGATAATGCTTCCCGAAGGTGGAATGTGCAATTGCTTAGACAATGGTTCTTGGATTTCGAGGTTCAACATATTTTGTCCATTCCAATTTGTCCATCGCTGCCAAAAGATAGATTAATATGGCATTTTACTAAGTCGGGGAATTTTTCAGTTCATAGTGCTTATCATTTATCCATTGAAAAAATCTGTTTAGATCTTCAGTGGATATTGCATCTTCAAGTAATACAATGGATCGGTGATCTGGATTGTTCATCTGGTCGCTTCATGTGCCAAGCAAGGTCAAAATTTTCCTTTGGCTTTTATTTCTTGATATTTTACCTACTATGTGCATTTGACAGAGAAGGAGATTGATGGTTAAAAATGAGTGCTTTTTATCTGGTGATCCTTGTGAGTCTTCTTTCCATGTGTTCGTTGCTTGCCCCTTTGCGAAAGCTGTTTGGGAAGCTGTTGCAATCCAAGTTCCAACAAAAAGTATGCTGAATATTCAAGAATGGTTTGTTTATGTTTCTGAGAAGCTAACATCTACTGAGGTAGTAATGGTTGCTATTATTTCATGGGCTTTGTGGTTCAATCGAAATAAGGTTCGTGTAGAAAATTGCTCCAGATCTCCGCAGGAAATAGTCCAGTTCTCAAGGGAATATATTCATCATTATCAAGCTGTTAATTGTTTGAGTGGCGATTCTATTGCTCGAATTGCTTCTAATATAAGGACTATATGGACACAACCTCAAATAACTGTTTCCAAAGTAAATACCAACATTATACTGGAGGGTGATTCTAAGTCTTTCATTGAAGCTTTATCATAGAAGCATGAGTCATTATCTGAAGTGGGTAATTTTATAGATCAAATCAATAAGTTAAAGTTTAATTTTCAAGGTTTCTTAGCAGTTTGGATAAGCAGAAAGGGAAATGTAGTTGCTCATAGTTTAGCCAAATATTCTATTAATTGTAATACTTCTATGATTTGGAGAGATGAGATTATGTCTTTTTTGTTATCTCATCTCCACAAGGATGTATCTTGTGTTGTTTAGTAAATATATATGAATATCGCTGTTTCTCAAAAAAAAATATATATATATATATATATATATATATATATATATATATTCATCAAATTGACACAAAATTAACATTCAATGTTATCCAATAAGCATTTAATTCCTTAAATTAACAATCAAATTCAACAAGTTAATATTAAATTAATCAAACTATCACCAAATTAACATTAAATTCATCTAATTTACATTCAATTTCATCCAATTAACACTCAATTAATCAAATTAACATCTAAAATTATTTAAAAAATATTCAATTTATCAAATCAACATCAAAGTAGCATATAATTTCATCCAATTAAAATTTAATTTATAAAATTAACATTCAATTCATCAAAATAATATTCAATTCATCAAATTAACACCAAATTAACATTCAATTTTATCTAATTAACATTCAATTTTTTTAATAAGGATTAATTGTAACACCCCACCCTCCACATGACATAATATTGTCCGCTTTGAACCCACTGGCCCTCATGGCTTTGTTCCTCCCAGTACTCTTAGGAAAATGTTTTATGTCATGTAAGGCAAGAGGGGCTTACTAATAAGCCGATCAACTTTCCCCTCCCTAACAGATGTGGCACACCAGGATCTCACAATCCACCCCCCTTCGGGCTGCATGGCTACCTACTCGCCCACATGCACGCGAGCACGACAGGGGCCCACACTTGATCTAGGTGAGGGTCAACTCTGATACCACTTGTAACACCCCACCCTCCACATGATATAATATTGTCCGGTTTGGGCCCACTGGCCCTTACGGCTTTGTTCCTCCCAGTACCCTTGGGAAAAGGCCTTGTGCCATGTAAGGCGAGAGGCTTACTAATAAGCCCAACAATTTTTTCCTCCCTAACCGATGTGTTAAATTAATTTATTAAATTAACATTCAAATTCAACTAATTAACATTAAATTAATCAAACAAACTACAGTTAACACTCAATTCATTGAATTAACTTTCCAAATCAAACAATAAAGATTCAATTTATCAAATCAACACCAAAGTAACATACAATTTCATCTAATTAATATTCAATTCATTAATTTAACACTAAATTAACATTCAATTTTATCTAGTAAGCATTTAATTCATTAAATTCACAATCAAATTCAACAAGTTAATATTAAATTAATCAAATTAACCGCAAATTAACATTGAATTTATCTAATTTACATTCAAATTCATCCAATTAACACTCAATTAATCAAATTAACATCTAAAATTATTTTAAAAAACTCAATTTATTAAATCAACAACAAAGTAGTAGATAATTTTGTCCAATTAAAATTTAACTTATCAAATTAACACCAAAATAGCATTAAATCCATCAAATTAACATTCAATTTCATCTAATTAACATTCAATTTTTTTAATAAACATTTAATTCATTAAATTAACATTCAAATTCAACTAGGTAACATTAAATTAATCAAACAAACTTTTAATTTCATTCAATTAACACTCAATTCATTGAATTAACTTTCCAAATCAAACAATAAAGATTTAACATATAATTTCATCTAATTAATATTCGATTCATCAATTTAACACCAAAGTAACATGTTAAAGTGATATCAATTTTCAATTTTCTAATTGATACTTTAGATATGAAAATGATAAAATATCCATAATTTAGGAATAAAAGTGTATTAAACTATTTTAGAAAATCAGGATCGGATGAAATTAAATATTAATATTATAAATTTAATATTAGTTGGAAGAAACTAAATGTTAATTTTATATTTAATGTTAAATAGTTGAAATTGAATATTTATTAGTTGAAATTGAATATTAATTTATTGAATTTAATGTTAATTTTGTTTTGATTTGAAGAATTAAATGGTCATTAGATAAATTTGCTTGTTAATTTAGTGTTGATTTGATAAATTGAATGTTATAAACGCAAATTGAATACTTTAGGGGTCAAATTGATACTTTAGGAATAAAATTGACAAAACCTCCACACTTTAAGGATAAAAGTGTTATTATTGGACTGTTGTAGATATTAATTTGATTAATTGGACGTTAATTGAATGAATTTGAATATAAATTGGATGAAATGAATGCTAATTTGGTGTTAATTTGATGGAATATGTGTTAATTTGATGAAATTAAATGTTAATTTGATAAATCTTAATGTTAATTAATTGAATTTAAATGTTGATTTGATAAATTGAATTTTTATTAGATGAAATTGAATGTTGATTTGGTAATAATTTGATAAATTGAATATTAGTTGGATAAAATTGCATGTTAATTTGATGTTGATTTGAAAAAAAAAAATCTTTATTAATTCGAATGTTAATTAAATGAATTGAGTGTTAACTGGATGAATTTGAATGAATTGAATATTAATGTGATGTTAATTTGATGAATTGGGTGTTAATTGGATGATATTAAATGTTAATTTGATGAATTTAATATTAATTTGTTGAACTTTACTTTTAATTTGATGAATTGAATGTGTTAATGTGAAGTCAATTTGTTAATTGCTTGTTAATTAAATACTTTAGAGATAAAACTGACAAAATTAATACTTTAGATATGAGACTATAAGATATCTATAATTTAGGGATAAAAGTGTATTAACCAATTTTAGAAAATCAGGATGTGTAATGTGTGATCCTGATTTTCTAAAACCGATCCTGATTTTGAAAAATGGGTTAATATACTTGTACTCCTAAAATATGCATATTTTGTCAATTTATACCTAAAATCTTTAAATTTTCAATTTTATTTTGAAAATATTCAAGTAATATGCAATTCGGAAAATTGACGTCACATTACCTTTCAAATTCATCCAATTAACATTCAATTCATCGAATCAATATTCAAAAAATCTAATTAACACTCAATTCATCAAATTAATACAAAATTGAATACTTTAGGGGCCAAAAAGATAAAATATGTATATTTTAATGATAAAAAAGTTATTAACTAATTTTAGGAATAAATTTGTAAAATAGTTTTACCACTGTTTGTATAAGTTTATCACTTTGTTTTTTTTTGTAAATCAGGATTTCTCTTAATTGTCCTACCGATCAAAAGCTTACCAATCAACCATAGCGATTGTAGCTAAAATTAGGACCAGTCCTATGGCATGTTTAGCGATCAACCATCTAACTTAAATCAGGACCGATCTTAGTTGTCTAAGTGATCAAGATTATCCAATTAAGATTTGGGGCAAGTTATCACTTTGGGGTAAGTTAATACTTTTTAGGGTAAGTTACCAATATTGTGGTTGTAAGTTATCACTGTTTGGGGGTAAGGTACCCCTTTTTGAGGGTAAATTACCGCTTTTTTGGGGTAAAATATCACTTTTAGGGAATAAATTACCACTTTTTATAGGTAAGTTGCAACTATTTGGGGATAAAGTACTACTTTTTTGGGGGTAAGGTACTACTTTGTGCGGATAAGTTACCACTTTGAGGGGGTAAGTTATCATTTTTTTGGGGGTAAGGTACAACTGGGTTGGGTTCGCAATCTAGCATAATGAGTGTTATTCCATCATGTTTCATTAATGCTAAGTGCTCGGGCAATTGGATCTTCTCTCGAGACCCTACCGAGCATTGATGGTTTGATCCCCGTTCATCGAGTGCTCTACATAGACACTTAGAGCCCATGACCGAGCTTTTACGAGAAGGAACTAGATCCCCTTGGAAGCCCCCGAGGGCTCTCCCTCGGTCTAGTAGCCATTAATGCCTTGTAATGATGACTGCTTTCTTGTTCTTTGAGGATTAGACAGTTATTAATAGTCTGTTATACTAGCATGACCCACATTAATGAGTTTTCATACCTCATTCAATGCTAGATTTTGAGTATCATATTTGCAAGGCTCCTCCTTCTAGCAAATTGTACACATTCTGAAAGTTGTGGGTATCCACTTGTGCAGTTCTTTTTGGCATGCCACCTAATGTCCCGTCAAGTGCCCCCTAACATCCATTTTCCTAGCGTCATGGGACAGATGAAAAATGAAGAGTGGAGGCTTCTTTTGTACGCTTGGTTTTTTGAGACGGTAACTTGCACCTTGCCCTTCCAGGCTCTGCTCCATTGGCAATGTCTGCTATGAATTGCACTAAACCCCATCTAATTGGTCTATGGAATGAGATTTTGTGATTGTGGGGGGAATGTCAGCTTCCACATTTCTCACGCTTAGGCTACCCCTTACCTCACCTTGAGATCGAGTGTTCACCATGCTTGTGTTGCTAAAGGAAAATCTAATTCAATAACCTTCCCATAGAGACGTCAAATTGTATGGGGCAATTCCTGTAATGGGTTAAGATAGCGATCGTCTGAGTGATTTTGAATGGGGAACTGAAATGGAAGAAGAATCAGGAAAGGGGCCGGGTGAACACCCAATTAATCCCCTCCGATGTTTAAGTTAGTCGGTGTTTGAGTAAAAATGCATGGGAAATTCTAGATTTAGATTGCATCCCTTAGTTTAGCTTTTGGAGGGATATTTATATCTAGATTCGTAATGATGCCTCATCCGAAGTCCGATCCTAAAATTTAATGGACTGGGTTCGCAATCTAGCATAATGAGTGTTATTCCGTCATGTCACATTAAAGCTAAGTGCCTAGGCAATTGATTCTTCTCTCGGGATCCTACCGAGTATTCATGGTTCAATCCTTGGCCATCGAGTGCTCTACATAGGTAATCAGAGCCCATAACCGAGCCTTTATGAGAAAGCACTAGATCTCCTCGGAAGTCCCTGAAGGCTCTCCCTTGGTCTTGTAGCCATTAATGCC